ACTATGAAAAGTTCAAAGGAAAATCTACTTATCCAGATGCGATTAGTCCTTACTTGTAAATTTCATGTCCCGGGCACTTTAGGAACTTATCTATCTTCATATCTATCAACAGGGCAAATCCATCCTGGAAGTTCTTTTCTAGAGTTTTCACATTAATTCCCATTTCGGAGACGTACCGCCCATATGACACAAAGGTATGATACCATTGGATGGCGTCCTCATAAACCATATCCAAATGAGGTCGTGGTTCCGATGGTGCCTCCCTCGAACCGCTAGCAACCTACTTCCCTTTAGCTTGTCGAGATGAACCTTTATACTGCTTGCGTTTTGTTTGGCAGAGGGAGTAGTAGTAGAAGACTTCTTCACTCCTTTTCCCTTGGTAGCAGTGTCACGAGCCATAACAACCTGACCATAATAAACATGAATGTGAGAATGAATAAAAAAATTTGCCCAAGGTCACCGTGAGGGTCAAAGATGACCCACACTAAAAATCGAAGGCTCTATGTAATTTACTCGCAATAGTGGTTCAAAGTGCATAATTGTTGCACCTCAAGGCAATGGGTACTCAAGACTTCCCGATGCCACACAATTCAAGTAGTCTAGCATGTCCATGACTTAGCCTTAGTGCAAGCAAGCAATACTTGAGTCCAAATTACTACAACTAGTATAATACACTAACTACTTCTAACAAGAGGCTATAAGATACATTACACATGATACAAGGTGTGGGTAGTGTGATTATCGTATGGTGATCATGGAAAAAAAGCTCAGGCTATATAAAACCACCCCCAAAACACCCCACACTTAGCCTAACATCACATACAACGACACTTGGCTACTCAGACTTCACTGGTGCACAATTTACTCTTTTAAGCATTATATCAAACATGGTGGGAATTAGTTGTGTTTCTCTTTATTCAACAATGGTGGAACAAGATGGCCCTCCCAAATTTTAAACGAAGTAGAGAGAATTGTTGTTTACTACATAGACAACTTCACAACCAATTTTAACAACCAATTTTTTCATAGATGTCACCTACCATAACAATACAAAGTTAAAAGAAACTTAGGGTGGATTGGGGAGAGGGGGTCGTTTAGGATGGGGGTGATAGTATAACACAAAGAAATCACAAAATTACAAGAAAAGAGGGAAGAAGGAGACACATACCTGTAATTTTTGAGATGAAAGCAAGCAAAAATGGAGAACTTGAGAGAGAGAGAGAGGAAGAAGAAAGTGGGTGAGAGAGAGAGAGTGTAGAGGGACGCGGGTTTAGAGAGAGAGGGATGGAATTTAGACTTAGGTTTATTTTAATTAGAGTGGGTGGTGGTATGGGTTAGGAGGTGAGTATAAACGGGTATCCGGGTCGGGTTAAGTATTAATGGGTTTAATAAAAAGAGTAAAACTAAAAAATAATAATAAAAAAATCTTACCTGACCCCTTAGTCCAGCGCATCGCGTTTGGCCTGGCGCTTGGGGGAGTTTTCCATTATGTAATGTTCACCATAGGCAGCGTGTGCCGCTGGCCTGGGCGCTAGTTTTCGATTTTTTTTAATAAACAACCCCACCAACCCGAGCACTTAGTACATCCATCATACACACTCCACACCATTCCTACCTATGATTTCTAGGACTATAAAGAAAACAAAAATCTAGTCTACTCTGACTAAGGGGAAAAAAAGCTAAGCTACGAAAGCACTAAAAATTGGATTCCCTCCAAACAAGTGCCCGATTTAACATCGCAGTACGACGCAATACATTTCCTCACACATCCACCAATTCTATCAAAGTTTTGTGATGACAAACACCACCACCCCAATAATATTTTACTCTCTGCCCATTGACTAAAAATGTGCTATTGCTTTCATGATCCTTTAGCTCAACGGCTCCATGTTTTGTAACTCGCACTACTTCAAACGCACTCAACCATCTCAACTTGAGCTTCCCAGGGAAGAGCTTCAACCTTGAATTGAACAAGAGAACGGCTTGACCGGCTTCGAACTCACGATACAAAATGTGTTTTTCATGCCATCTCTTTGTTTTTTATACAATTTCGCATTCTCATATGCCTGCAATCGAAACTCTTTGAGCTCATTCAGTTGCAACATCCGTTTTCCCCCAGCTAGAACCATATCAAAGTTGAGCTTCTTTATTGCCCAATATGCCTTGTGCTCAAGCTCAACAGGCAAGTGACAAGCCTTTCCATATACTAACTTGTATGGCGAAGTACTAATTGGAGTTTTGTATGCCGCGCAATATGCCCATAGAGCATCATCTAGCTTGCCATCCTAGTCCTTCCTACTTGTGCTCATTGTCTTCTCAAATATTTTCTTCATCTCCCTATTTGAGACCGCCACTTGACCACTGGTTTATAGATGATAAGCAGTTGCGACCTTATGTATCACCCCATACTTAGGTAAAAGGGTGCCCAACAGTTTGTTACAAAAGTGAGTACCTGCATCATTAATAAAAACAAGCGGAGTCCCAAATCTGGTGAAAATACTTTTCTTCATAAAGCTCAGCACCACTTTAGCATCATTCATAGGAAAATTCATAGCCTCAACCTACTTTGACACATATTCAACTGCAAGCAAGATGTATCGATGACCATTTGATACTAGAAACGACCCATGGAATCTATTTCCCAAATATCGAAGATTTCGACCTCATGTATGCCCTTCAGTGGCATCTCATGCCTTCTCGAAATTGTACCCGTCCTCTAGCACATATCACACCTTTTAAATGTGCATCCTTGAGTAGCTTAGGCCAATAGAATCCTGATTGCAACACCTTTGCAACCATTTTGTCTCCATCATGATGCCCCCCTATTATGGTGATACATGGAAATCATGTAAAATTTCCTACATCTCCTCCTCAAGAACACATCAGCGCACTAATTGATCTGCACACTACTTAAGTCAAAATAGCTCATCCCATAGATAAAGCCTCACATCATGCATGAATTTCCTCTTACCATCTGGAGATAACTCTGACGGAGTCACCTCACTTACAATAAAGTTCACATAGTCAGCACACCATGGGGTTGTGCCAGCTGTGATGGCTAGCAATTGCTTATTAGGAAAGCTTTCCTGAATGTTGCCCCTTCCTCAACCTGCGTGCGAGTTTCCAAGAACGATAAATGGTCTGCCGCATGATTTTATGTCCCTTTTCGAACTTTGAGTTCCACGTCAAATTCTTGCAAGAGAAGAACCGAACGAATTAGTCTAGGATTAGCATCCTTTTTCTCAAACAAATACTTGATGGATGCATGGCCTGTGTAGATGATGACTTTAGTTGGCACTGTAGGCCCTAAATTTGTCAAATGCCCATACTACCGCTAGCAACTCTTTTTCTGTGACTATGTAATTTATCTAAGCTTGATTTAGAGTTTTGCTAGTGTAGTAAATTGAGTGGAACACTTTATCTTTCCTCTTGCCCAATACAACCCCAATTATCATATCACTGGCATCACATACAATTCAAACGACTCTCCCCAGTTTGGGGCGGTGATAATTGGTGCAGTAACCAATATTTTTTTCAACTCCTCATATGCCTTCAAGCAGTGTTCATCAAACTTGAAAGGCATATCCTTCTCGAGCAAACTACACAAGGGAGCAAAAATCTTAGAGAAATCTTTAATAAATCTACGATAGAAACCTGCATGTCCCAAAAAGCTTTTGACTCCTTTTACAGAAATTGGAGGCGACAATTTTTCAATTGCATCTACTTTTGACTTATCCACCTCCAACCTATCTTTGGACACCTTGTGCCCAAGTACAATTCCTTCCCGTACCATAAAATTGCACTTCTTCCATTTCAACACCAAATTTGTCTCTTCACACCTGGCAAACACTTTACTCAAATTCATTAAGCATTTATCAAAAGATGGTCCAAAGACTGAAAATCATCAATAAACACTTCAACAAATTTTTCTACCATATTAGTGAAGATTGCCATCACGCACCGTTGAAAAGTCGCAGGTGCATTGCATAACCCAAATGGTAATCTCTTAAAAGCGTAAGTGTCATAAGGACAAGTGAAGATGGTCTTCTCTTGGTTCTCTGGTGCAATTGAGATCTGGTTATAGCCCGAATATCCATCAAGGAAATAATAATAATCATGTCTGGCCAACCTATGTAACATTCGATCAATAAAGAGAAGGAGGAAGTGATCTTTTCTAGTAGTATTATTAAGTTTTCAGTAGTCAATGAAAATTCTCCAACCGGTGACAGTCCTAGTTGGGATTAATTCATTATTATCATTTATGACCACCGTTATTCCACTCTTTTTAAGTACACACTAGACTGGACTTACCCACACACTATCAGATATAGAAAAGAAAATACCTGCATCGAGCCACTTTATGACTTCTTTTCTCACTACTTCCTTTATGACTGGATTCAGGCGGCGTTGGTGTTCTACACTCAGTTTGTGCCCCTCCTCCATGAGAATTTCATGCATACAAAATGTTGGGCTAATACCACAAATGTCAGCCATGGTCCATCCAATCGCCCACTTGTGCTCTCTAAGCATGCAAAGTAGCTTTTCTTCCTGCAAAATAGATAAGTCAGAAGATACAACAACAGGTAAAATTTCATCAACACCTAAATAGGCATAATGAAGATGGGAGGGCATGGGCTTGAGTTCTAATTTAGGAGCTTCTTCGATAGACAATTTGGGGGTGGCCTAGTTGGTTTATCTAAAGGCTCAAAATCGACCAGTCCTTTGATGTAAGCACATGCATCCAGATTGATGCACCATCTCCTTCACCTCGTCATCCAAGTCAATATTGTCAAATAACATAAGTGCTTTCTCTAGAGAGTCATCTAGATATGCACCCATATCATTTATTTCTTCTTCTTTTTCAATCACAAATATCATAGATAGATTCTCATAGTGACTTGGCAACTGAATTGTCCTGTATACATTAAAGACTGCTTCCACATTATCAACCCGGAGGATCATTTTTCCTTCACGAACTTTGATCACAACATCAGCGGTGGCTAAGAGAGGTCGACCCAAGATGATGGGAATTTTTCATCAGCTTCATAGTCCAGTATAATAAAATCTGTTGGGAGAATAAATTGCCTAATTTGTAGTAGCACATCTTTTATCACCCCCTCGGGATGGACAATAGATCTATCACCAAGCTGCAACATGACTATGGTTGGCCATAGATCTCCTAACCCCAATTGACTGAAAACCGATAGAGGCATCAAGTTTATGCTAGCCCCCAAATCATAGAGTTCTCGCCCCACATCTACCTCACCAATTCGAATAGGTATGGTGAAGATCCTCGGTTCCTTCAACTTTTGCGGCAATTTTCTTTGAATTCTTGAGGTGCACACTTCAGTATATGCCACAGTCTCAAACTCTGTCATCCTCCTTTTGTTAGCCACAATATTTTTATGTACTTAGCATATTTTGGGATTTCATGTAGCACATCAACCAGTGGAAGATTCAATTCAAACAGATTCTTTTCGCTTTCTTCAGTTTCTTTCTCATCTTCTCCCACAGTTTTGGGGATCAGTTCACCCTTAGGAGTGACCTGTTCTTTCTTTATTTTTGGGACTTCTTCCAATTTTCTATCATTCCTCAAAATTATAGCATTTACCTGAGGATTCTTATATAGGAAGGGCCCCTGCAGGTTGAGTATTTTATTGTGCAGCCAACTACCTAATCTGCCTCTCTATATTTCGAAATTCAGTCCTTAATTGCTGATTATCTATTCGAAGTAGCTGGTTGTCAATCAACAGCTTTTTCAACATATCATTAGTGATTTCTTATACCTGTTGAGGTGTCTTTTGAGGCTGATTATAGTTCCCTTGAGGCATGTATTGATTTTGAGTGGTCTAGTTCCCACCCCATGAGAAATTCAGGTGATTCCTCCAGTTGGGATTATAAGCATTCATGTATTGATTATTCTAGTTCATTGGAGCTCTACCTTGTTGGCCCATATAATAGATAAATTAAGGATTCACCGGACATTGGTCACTCATATGACCATCTCCATAAATTTCACAGCATATGGTCATCCTCTGAACCTGCTGCATCTGATGCCCTTGACCCATCGCCGATTTAGCCATTTGGTTGTCTAGTTTAGCGATCTCTACTTGCACGGCTGACATCTCATCCAGCTCGAGTGTACCCACTACTTTCTGTTTTATCATCCTTCTTGAGTCACCTTCAGCCTGCCAGTTATGATTATTTGCAGTAAAATTGCTGAGCAGAGTCTGAATCTCACTGTATGGCTTTTGCATGCAACTTCCTCCACAAGCTGAGTCTAGATTTAATTTGGAGGTCTCATCCAATCCATCCACAAAGGTATGTCCTAACAACTCATCAGTCTGACAATGATGTGGAAAGTCTCTGAGTAGTTTCTTATATCTTTCCCAAGCCTGGTGAAGAGTCTCACCATCTCGTTGTTGAAACCCAAGAATCTGGCTCCTCAGTGCCTTTGTCTTCTTAGTGGGAAAAAACTTGATTCAGATATTTCGTGCCAGATCAACCCAAGTGTGGATCGAGTGTGCGGGCTCCTTCTTTAACTATTCCTTTGATTCCCCCATTAGAGAAAAGGGAAACAAAGTCAGTCTGACATAGTCCTTAAAGACGTTCAAATAGTTGTATGTATTCCTAATCTCAAAGAAATTCTATATATGCCTTTTGGGATCTTCACTTGACAACCCCACAAATAGCCCTGTGGATTGAATCAGTTGCACCATGTACTGCTTCAGCTCAAGGTGCCTAGTTATATCAGGCTTTATGATAGCCTAAGTCATATTCGCAAGACTAGACCTTGTGGCCTTAATCACCGGTCTTTCTTCATTTTCTGCCATCTTGATCGGCTGCGGTTGGACTACAATACCCAACTCTGCAATTCTTGCTCTTTCTTCTACCTCCCTCTTTAACTTGTGGAAAAGTCTTTCGGTTCAGGATCAAGAGGTTGAAGGTTGTTCAAACGGTTGCTTCTTCTTAGCATTCAAGGTGAACACTTGTAGAGTCAGAAACAATCAAACAGATTAACACTTGAACAAAAACAAATAAGAGCTTATTTCAAACAAATAACTAATTTCTAAATCCCCGGCTACGATGCCAAAAAATTGTTGGGTCCAAATATACATGCAAGTAGACGCGGTCGACAAGTAATAAAGTGATACAAGAGTATCATTCCCACGAGGATTTATGATCGACTATTTTCCAATCTAAGCTATCTATATATTTAATGCTCAAGTGAGTGTGAAGAAGATGATTGTGATTTTTATAACTAAATTACTATGAATTAATAGGCAAGCAAGAAAATAAGACCGCAAGTAGAGCAAACAAACACTTAGGAAGAATTTAATGAGATGGAGAAATTGCATGGTTATGGGATTAATGTCTCTCCCATTGCTTTTTCGGGTTGATGTAATCACTTGACTTATCTAATTCATGAAGGTTTTTTGACTCTTCGCTCGCCTATGCAAGCCAACCTAAGATTACATGTCTATAGAAACAAACTTGATAAGAACACATGTATATTTGATGCAAAAATAACCATGTAAGGCAATTGGAATATGTCTATCATAATCACGAATCTATTCTCGGATACCCGGATTCAAGAACTTACTCTATTCAATCATATATGAAATTTATAATTCCCACTTTCGAGTTCAACTATAAATTCGTAGATAATACCTATTGTTAGCTACACAATAGAATAATTAAGTGCAAGATTTAATAAAAAAATTAATATGATAAAATCAAGAAAAACTATGAACCGTGAATTTACAATAGTCAAAAATAACCCATAACCCAGAACAATGAGGTTGTTAGACACTCATGTTCATAACAATAATCAGAATATCCTTTTTACACATAAAAGATATGAATACTAGATGAAGGATGGAAGAATTGATAAATTCCATGCTTCCGAGTGTTTTGTACTTTTATTTTTCTCTCAAAGTTGCGTCTCCCCATCCAAAATAGGTTTAGGTTTTCTTTTATACGAGTTGGGGGAATCTTGTGGTCGAAATAACCAAGTCCAGGCGAAATAGGACAACTTCACATCACCAACACCCAAGGTAGCATGGAGTTCTATCCATGGCGCATGAAATTTAGAGGATCTGTTTTGTGTGCCGCAGGTAGCACCCCACACTGCCTATGGCAATACATTGTAGATTTTTTGTGTTTCATCCCCATTTCACTTTAGTTCGTGCATCATCATCCCAAAATTGCCTCCGAATGATTCCTACATATAAAAATATTACTAATTAGCACCAATCATCATATTACATATCCGAAATCTACAAAACATGAGTAAAATGCGAGGCAATATGAATATAGAATACAAAACTCCCTCCGTAGGATGTTGTGATGACAACTAATCTCAACTATTAGGTAAGCCTAGCATACATGAAGAATTTAACTGAAATAGTAGTAAAACTTTCAATTAAATCAATAACTATCATAAGAAGGACTCCGCAACACAATTGGACATAAGACCCCAAAATATGGTAAAACCGAGGCACAAGCTCTACATGAGTGTACTGAACATCCCTATACATCAATATCTATATATATAAAAAAGAATGGAATAGAACTAGATAGAGGGTGACTTCGAGGACTGCGGACGCCGGCAGGTATACCTTGAAGTCTCCGATCCAAGCTCGAGTCACTGATGCCTAGGCTGGCATGAAGTCCTGGATCTACACAATAATATGTGCAGAAGCATAGTATGAGTATACCACAACAGTACCCAGTAACTATCGAGCCTCACCTCGGTAGAGTAGTGATGGGATCGGGTCAAGACACTTATTAGAATAAATAAAGAAATTGAGAAAGTATAGTATAGTATCATAATAAATACAAGGAAGAAATATAACAAGAATAGCTATATTGAGACTAGGGAAATTAGGACATCACAGAAGAAACACATAATAAGAAGGCCAAGGAAATGATGCAAACAAAATAGAAGTGATGTAAATGAAAGGTATCAACAAGAATCACTACCGAGGTATCGCCTCGTAGTTTTATTTCACAATTCAAATCAGAATCTTTCCTTATATCACCGCGGGAGTGTTACATTTAGTTTTGAAAATCATTTTCCCAAAATAGCTACCCGCGTTTTAGCACACCTTATCACACTGCGTGGCTTCAAGTAGTTCCCCTAATAGCAACATGCGTATAAAACCCACCTTATCTCACCACATGCTTATCAAACCCCAAATTCTGATACCACCACATGAGTATCAATATCACGACATATCACTAATCGCACCTCAAGTGCCCAAAACCATAAATATCCTATGGCCCAACACAATGTACAAGAGTCTCAACAACAAAAACTGAAAGTGAATATCTCAACAATAATGGTAATTCAATAATTTACAACCTTGCCTCAATGTGAATCACAACCTTTATAACTTTAACACCATAATTCAACAATAAAATATTCCAAGAAATAACAACTTCAAGTAAGATAACCCAAAAGTTAAATAATTAACAAGAAAATGAGAGAACAATAACTTCAACTAAGCATGTAAAGGAGAATAACAATAAATAGATGAGAGAAGTATTTACAATGTCAAGTAAATCACGTAAGGATAGATTGACGATGATGAAGATAACATGTTATGACAACTCAATTAAAGCCATGAAAAGAATCTACATAACTTTAATTGATCAATTACCACATTTAGCCCAATGTACACACTCGTCACCTTACATACACGGCCTTCACGTACCACAATTAACACAAAACAATACCAATCCTAAGGGGTAATTTCCTCTCACACAAAGTTAGGCAAGACAACTCAAATGGTAGGAAACTATTATCCAACTCTGAACGGCTCAAATCTAGTCAAAAAAAACTTTATACCATAAATACAAATGGTAGGAAACTATTCCGAATAATAAAGTTGAAATCTTAAAAAAAAAATCAAAAAGACAACTCAAATAGTCAACACCGGGCTCATGTCTCGGAACCAGACCAAACTTACAAAATCTGAACACCCATTCAATAACGAGACCAACCATACTAAAATTATTCAAATCTTACCTCAAATCGCCTTTCAAATCCTAAAATATGGTCTATGAAGGTTTCACAATTTTCCCCAACTTTTCTAACCCAAAATACTAATTACCTAGTAAAAACAATGATGGGTTCATGTATAATAGCCAAATATGAGTTAGAATAACTTACCCCGATCAAATCCTTGAAAATCCCTCTCAAAATCGCCACAAACTAGGCTATATAAGTCAAATGATGAAGAATGAAGTAAAACCCTCATTTTGGAAATTAAATATTGCTGTCCAGATATTGCCTTTAGCAATCTCGGACAATCACTCACGATCGTGGAGAACAAATCTCCCCACCTCAAAAAACCTCCTTCGTGGTCACATA